GATAAGTACCTGGCTCCTGCCATCAGATCAGCACGGTGCACTGGCCGCTGCGGCCATTGGAGGATGAACCAACATCAAAGGAAGACCTTTCTCTCTGTCTCTCTCTCACTGTCCACTCTGCCTGTCAAAAAAATAAATAAATAAAGGATTAAAGCATGAGGGCCGGCGCTGTGGTGCAGCAGGTTAACGCCCTGGCCTGAAGTGCCAGCAGCCCTTATGGGCGTCAGTTCGAGTCCTGCTGCTCCACTTACGAGCTAGCTCTCTGCTATGGCCTGGGAAAACAGTGGGAGATGGCCCAAGTCAATGGGTCCCTGCACCCACTTGGGAGACTCGGAAGAAGCTCCTGGCTCCGGATCGGCGCAGCTCTGGCCATTGCGGCCAACTGAGGAGTGAACCAGCGATGAAGGACCTCTCTCTCTCTCTCTCCCTGCGCCTCTCCTCTCTCTGTGTAACCCTTTCAAATAAATAATCAAAAAAAAAAAAAGGATGAAAGCATGGATTTCAAAATTTTTTTGTCCAAAGTAAATTTTAATTCATTTTTCCGTGAACTTTTTGAACCATCCATGTATTTTGGTGCAAAAAAAATTGGGGCTGGCGCCATGGCTCACTTGGTTAATCCCCCACCTGCAGCACCGGCATCCCATATGGGCACCGGTTCTAGTCCTGGCTGTTCCTCTTCCAGTCCAGCTCTCTGCTGTGGCCCAGGAGGGAAGTGGAGGATGGCCCAAGTGCTTGGACCCCTGCACCTGCATGGGAGACCAGGAGGAAACACCTGGCTCCTGGCTTCGGATCGGCGCAGTTCTGGCCACAGCAGCCATTTGGGGGGTGAACCAACGGAAGGAAGACCTTTCTCTGTCTCTGTCTATAACTACCTGTCAAATAAAAATTGAAATGCATGCAGTTTTATCATAATATACATCTTCCATGAACTTTCTGAAGACCACTCATAGTATGTAAGACTGTTTTTCAATATTTTTGTGGAGGTTATAGTATAACCTACTTACATGGAGAAATTAATATAGAAATTATGAAAAAGAACCACCCTCTGCCATCTTTCTTAATAATTTTTGTAAAGGTTTCATGACAAGAATGATCATAATCAAGATAAACTTTAAAAGCATAACTTATACAATGTTCTACTGGAAGCTCAGACACTTTAAAAATATACTTTTTTTTTTTTTTTGGACAGGCAGAGTGGACAGTGAGAGAGAGACAGAGAGAAAGGTCTTCCTTTGACGTTGGTTCACCCTCCAATGGCCGCCGCGGCCGGTGTGCTGCCGCTGGCGCACCACGCTGATCCGATGGCAGGAGCCAGGTACTTATCCTGGTCTCCCATGGGGTGCAGGGCCCAAGTACTTGGGCCATCCTCCACTGCACTCCCTGGCCACAGCAGAGAGCTGGCCTGGAAGAGGGGCAACCGGGACAGAATCCGGCTCCCCGACCGGGACTAAAACCTGGTGTGCCGGCGCCGCAAGGCGGAGGATTAGCCTAGTGAGCCGCGGCGCCGGCAGAAAAATATACTTTTAAAAATATTTAAAGTATATTGGGGCCAATATTGTGGCACAGTAGGCTAAGCCTCTGCCTGCGGTGCTGGCAACCCATATGGGTGCCAGTAGTGTCCTGGCTATTCCTCTTCCAATCCAGCTCTCTGCTCTGGCCTGGGAAAGCAGTGGAAGATGACCCAGGTGCTTGGACCCCTGCACCCATGTGGGAGACCAGGAAAAAACTCCTGGATCCTGGCCCCTGGCTTTGGATCATCCAAGCTCTAGCTGTTGCAGCCATTTGGAGGCTGAACCAGAGGATGGAAGACCTTTCTCTGTCTCTCCCTCTCTCTCTCTGTAACTCTACCTCCGAAATAAATAAAATCTTTAAAAAAAAAAAAAAAAGTATATTGCAGAGGGATAGAAAGGAAGACTTCAAACAAGATATGGAAATTTACAAAAATCACCAGGAAGGCAATTTAACAAAAACCAATGACTTTAATAAAAAATTTACATCTGAAATATTGTATAATAGAACAGAGACATAAATAACAATGAGTGAAATATAATGAAGAGGGGCCGGCACTGTGGCATAGTAAGTTAAGCCTCTGCCTGTAGCACTGGCATCCCATATGGGCACCAGTTAGAGTCCTGGCTGCTCTACTTCCTATCCAGCTCCCTGCTGACGGCCTGAGAAAGCAGTGGAAGATGGTCCAAATGCTTGGGCCCTGCACCCACATGAGAGACCCAGAAAAAGCTCCTAGCTCTGGCTTCGGATCGGTCTAGCTCTGAACATTGCAGCCATTTAGGGAGTGAACCAGCAGATAGAAGACTTCTCTCTCTGTTTCTCTCTCTCTCTGTAACTCTGCCTCTCAAATAAATAAATCATTATTAAAAAGAAATACAATGAAGGAAAGAATATCATAATCAGACAAAATACTTGACACCCTAACATGTTATGTAATTATTATTTTAAGACAGTATTTGTGTTAATATCAAAGCCAGGTTTGATCTACACTTTTTTCCTAAGATTTCAAATAGGAGGAGAAAAAAATCATACTAGTTTGAGCTAACTTCAACATTACATAATCGTTGCTAGTTTCAAAAGAAATAAAACATCCTAGGGGTTTTTCCTCACATGGCAGAGTTTAGAAAAGAGGAGAAAACGTCTCATTTTAGCTCTGTTCTGTATTTGTTTTTCATGAACTTGGTTTGAACTTTTACATTTATCATTCCAATTTTCATTAAAAAGCATGGTGAGTCACCATCTTCTGTACAGAATTAGAACTATGGATAATGGAAAAATCATCTCCAGGTGAAATGAATACCAAGAGGAGTCTAAAACTCCTACATCCTACAAAAGACTTGGGAGTTTTTCTCAAGTCAAAAGGAAACATAAAAGCCTAATGAATGGTTTACATAAAACACAGGAAAACGCACCACACGTGCTGGGCAGCATCATCTGAAAAGACTGCAGGAGACAGGTTCACAACTCTTCCCTTCTTTGAAGAAATCACTTGTTTTAACCTAATAACATTTTTATCCAATTACATCTGTACCTTCCCAGAAATCAACAACATGAAAAGAAATCGTGATGGATCCTTCCAGCATTTAAAGATCCCCAAAACCTGGGGGGTTTGTTACAGTAACATCTACCCAGCATTTGCAAAATCAACCTAATGATCACCGCTGCCCAACTTCTGACACCTACGTCAATCAACTGAGCAGGCCCCCGGCTGCTTGCCTTCATCGCCATATCCTCATTAAACCACGTTTGTTTCTGAGAGAGGGCATCAGAACAGGGGTGGAGGGTGTTTCTAGCAGTACCACAAGGGGCCTAACCCTGCTCATCCCAAGTTTAAAGAATCCCATAAAGTCATCAGGTTGTAACCTGGGCTTCTTTAAAAGAACTGAATGAGCCTGGTTTACTCTTGTTTTTTCCTTCGGTAGAGGAGCAAGGTGTATTTACAGGCAAAGTGGTGAAAGCACTCACTCGGAAGGCACGTAGGCACGCTCAAGAGAAAGCTTCACTCCACCAGGTCGGGGTCCATGCCTTTTTATTGTCTGGAGGTAAAAGGGGTGGTGGTGTCTGGGGCAGGGCTTAATTGGGGATGGAGTCTGGGGTGGGGCTTGAGTGCTGCCTATTTCCTTGCCCCCCCCTTTCCCTTTTTCCAAAGAAACCTTTTATTTAAGGGATACAAATTCCTTAAGTACAACTTTAGGAATATAGTGATTCTCCCCAATAGCACTCCCACCTACACTCCCACCCTCCACCTCCTCCCTCTCCCCTTTCCAGTCCCATTCTCCACTAAGATCCGTTTTCAATTAACTTTATATGTAGAAGACCAACTCCATACTAAGTAAAGATTTCAACAACTTGCACACACACACACACACACACACACAACTGTTTGAGAACAAGTTTTACAGTTAACTCTCATAATACAACTCATTGAGGACAGAGGTCCTGCATGGGAAGTTAGTACACAGTGACTCCTGTTGTTAATTTAACAATTAACACTCTTATGTATGACGTCAGTGACTACCTGAAGCTCTTGACATGAGCTGCCTAGGCTATGCAAGCCTTTTGAATGCACAACTGGTTTAGTCTTGAAACCTCTCCAGGGCAGCTCTCCAAACTTAGTGAGCCTTGGAGCACAGCCCAGCGGGAAAGCTGATGTTATAGGGTTCATCAGCCTTTGACAAACATCCCCAGACCATCTCCTAAGTGCTAAACACTCTGCTCAGCACTAGAGATTTAGAAGTAAACAGGATCTAGTTGCCATATCAAATCAGCACAAAATAAAGACTTGGAAACATGAAAGCAGCTGAGCTTCACAGAAACCCTCTCTTGCAAGATGCGTCCTTTCTGCCTGGCACACTCTTTCTCTCCTGCTAACCCCCACTTGTCCTACAGGACCCAGATGAAGCGTCATTTCCTGACCTGGGGCACCCTCTCCCGCCATCGGGTTCCATGCCCCTGTTACATGCTTCCAACTGCACCCTATGTTCCCCTGAGTATGGAAGTCTTGCTCGGAACTAGAATCACTTTTTTCACACTCTGTCCTGTCACTCTGCACCACCCAGGCAGTTAGGATCCTTGCTTGCTTTGTTCTAGTCCAGTGCATTCACAGTGACCACAAAGTGTCCACAGCTGCGGCTCAAAAAATATTTGCATCTCGAAGAGGATGTGGCCACCGCCTGATAAAGAGAAACAACCAATTTAAGTTTCTAGGGCAAACTGTTTCTGACTCTCAGATGCAGGTTTTTAGCTCTCCGAAATTGCTAACACACATAAACACATTTTTCCCCTTAAAACGGATCATTATAAGTTCCATCCCTCTGTAAACTATGCACTTCAAAGGGAATTTTTTAACATAGCTTCCAGATATTCAACTATTCACTCCTTTTAACTTTAAATTAACTGCATTTATTAGATTCAAAAACCTCTTAATCAAAATTAAATCTTCTTTGAAGCCTTGTCCCCAAAAATAAACACAGGCACGAAACTATATTCACCTTAGATGGGTCATATCTTCTCAGTGTTTCAAGGAGTTTCGGGATCTGTATTCTCGTCTCTTCCTCACAGAAGAAAATCCATGATGAATTTCTGCTATATGTTACAGAAAAGCTGACAAGAAGAAATAGATTATGGTAATCACTTCTACAAAATGAGTTTATAATAAGCTTTAAAACTGATAAGCAGAAGATGGATGGAAGGCATACAGAAGAGCAAGGCATCTAGATTTTTTTTTCCTTTTGTTTTTCTTCAACATAGAGTTTTCAGCTTATAGAAAAGCCAGCTAAGGGGTCAGCACTGTGGTGTAGTAGGTAAAGCCACCTGAAACACCTGCACCCCCTATAGGCACTGGTTTGAGCCCCAGCTGCTCCACTTAGATCCAGCTGCCTGCTAATGCACCTGGGAAAGCCGTGGAAGACAGTCCAACGGACCCCATGGGAGACCTGGAAGAAGCTCCTGGCTCCTGGCTCCAGTCTGACCCAGCCCTAACCAATGCTGACATTTGGGGAGTAAACCAGCAGATGGAAGATCTCTCGATCTCTCTCTCTCCCTTCCTCCCTCTCTCTCTCTAGCTCTGCTTTTCAAATAAATAAAACAAATTAAAAAAAAAAAAATCCAGATAGATCCTAACGGTTTATAGGGCAGACACAACTCCTAAAGTTAATTCTCTCCATAGCAACACCAATTCAGAAGATTAATAATTTTCAAATATCAACTTGAAGCATTTAACTTTTTAAAAAGAAGCATATTAAGTAATAAAAACTATTCAAGACTGAGAACCAACCATAAAGATATTGGATTAATTTGGTAAACACAAAAAGTGACACTCAAATTCACTTTACTTACAGACTCTGAAAGCAAACACACCCTCTTACTAAGGAAAACAGGGAGCACAACAGCACCCAGGTAGCAGTGTCGGTAATACAAACATTTGGAGTCAGCCATCCCACTCCTTGGAATTTACCCAAAGGAGTTTAAATTGGCAAACAAAAAAGCGGTCTGCACCCTAATGTTTATCGCAGCACAATTCACAATAGCCAAGACCTGGAACCAACCTAAATGCCCATCAACGGTAGACTGGATAAAGAAATTATGGGATATGTATTCTTTAGAATACTATACCACAGTAAGAAACAACGAAATCCAGTCATTTGCAACAAAATGGAGGAATCTGGAACACATCATGCTGAGTGAAGTAAGCCAGTCCCAAAGGGACAAATACCATATGTTCTCCCTGATCGGTGACAACTGACTGAACACCAAAAAGGAAACCTCCTGAAGTGAAATGGACACTATGAGAAACGGTGACTTGATCAGCATAGCCCTGACTGTTAATGAACAACTTAATACATTATCCCTCTTAGTATTTTTTTTTGTCTGTTCTACTTAATATGACTGGTTTAATTCTGTAATTATCGCACAGTTATTCTTAAGTGTTGAAAATTAACTGAAATGTGATCCCTGTTAAACATAAGAGTGGGAATAAGAGAGGGAAGAGATGTATAATTTGGGACATGCTCAAGCTGACTTGCCCCAAATGGTAGAGTTAGAAACATACCAGGGGATTCCAATTCAATCCCATCAAGGTGGCATGTACCAATGCCATCTCACTATTCCAAGTGATCAATTTCAGTTCACAATTGATCATAATGAAAGGACTAATAGTCAAAGGGAGCACATAAACAAGTCTAGTACCTGCTAACACTAACCGATAGAATAAATAAAGGGGAGAGTGATCCAACATGGGAAGTGAGATACTCAGCAGACTCACAGAATGGCAGATGTCCTAAATAGCACTCTGGCCTCAGAATCAGCCCTAAAGGCATTCGGATCTGGCTGAAAAGCCCATGAGAGTATTTCAGGCATGGAAAGCCAAGACACTCTGGCAAAAGATCTCTGTAAGTGAGATCCAGTGGAAAGAACAGGTCTTCAAAGAAGGAGGTACCTTTCTCTGAAGGGAGGAGAGAACCTCCACTTTGACTATGAGCTTGTCTAAACAAGATAAAAGTCGGAGAACTCAGAGGGCTTCCATAGCCTTGGAAACTCATGACCGGAGCATAGGGAGATTACTGATGCCATAGACAGGAGTGTCAATCGGGTAAAGTCAACAAACAGGAGTCACTGTGCACTTACTCCTCATGTAGGATCTCTATCCCTTAAATGTGCTGTACATTGAGATTTATACTATAACGGAGGTACTCAAACCAATATAATTTCACTTTTGTGTTTTTTATTGGGGGGTGCATAACTGGTTGAATCTTTATCCTAATTGGATACTAAACCTGATCCTCTGTAAAAAAAAAAAGAAAAAAGTAATTATCAATTCCGAACTTGACTCTCACTGGGATTCAACATGACAATAGGTCTGATCTGATTTCATCCACAATTAAAAAAATCATCTATTATTTTTCACTTTATGTTTCAGTGTGGGAGCAAACTGTTGAAATCCTTACTTAATGTATACTAAGCTGATCTTCTGTATATTAAGATAATTGAAAATGAATCTTGATGTGAATGGAAGGGGAGAGGGAGTGGGAAAGGGGAGGGTTGTGGGTGGGAGGGACGGTATGGGGGGGAAGCCATTGTAATCCATAAGTCGTACTTTGGAAATTTATATTCATTAAATAAAAGTTAAAAAAAAAAAACATTTGGAGTCAAACGTACTGTGGTAACAGTGGAAGGATAGTCCAGGCACCCTCCTGCTGAGGCAGCTGATGGAGGAAGAGAACGCTGGGGAGTTCCTGCAAAACCAATGACCAACAAGTTAAATCAGAGTGTAGCTGACCACTACAGTTAAAAAAAGACTTGGTGTAAAACGCAGCTGTTTCTGGAGACCTCACTTGTTACTCTTCATACCACTTTCCTTCTTCTAGTTCTATTTTAGAGTTGCTACAACCGAAGGTTTTGGCTGAGGCCATACAACCCCATCACCTCCCAGGTAGCCAACAGTGCTCAGGGCTCACAATGAGGCAGTGCGGGGATGATCAGAGCTCACCTGCAATTTACTTATTTGCAAAGGTGACAGGCAGAACTCAGACACAAAACCAGCTTTGTACTTTATATGCAACATATGTGACACAGGTTAAAGGAATCCTTTTGGCTAATTAGGAGGATACAATGTGCAATTACTTCAAAAAATTTATGGAAAATGGCATTAAGAAATAAGATTATTTTGGTACAAAAAATTTTGAAATCCATACATATGAAGGATCTTAAGAAAAATCATGAAAAGTGCATACTATGAAAAACTATGCATGGATTTCAAAAATTTTTTGTCACAAAATAAACTTGTCTTTTTTGAAATAAGTACCCTCATATCTAATCTACCTCATGTGAAAAAAAAATTTTAAATGCTTTAAAAAATCATGGAAATGAAAAAAAATGGAAGAAATATTAGAAATACCATCCTTTATTACTCAGGCAGCAAAAGGAAGAGCACAATGTTAGATTTTACAATTTATAAATATAGAGGGAACTGCGATTCAGAAATAAAACACAATTGTGGTTACATAAATGTGATCTACATGTAGAGAGGAAGATTAATATTTTTAAGGCTATGAATGTTAGCTTTGAAGTAAAGTGTTAACCTCTATATTTCAAGTTGTTACAAAAGCCAAAAGTCAGAAATTTCCTATTTATGATGCTTGGACCTCTTCTCCCAATAAACTTTATAACCTGTGCTTTATACTAGCTATAAAATGATATTCCTGGTAAGTCAAGAATTTAAAAATAAATGCCCAAATGCTGGAAATATGGCTCTGGTGTTTTCCACACTAGTAAAGTTCATATATGTGAATATTTATTATTTAAGAAGAATGTTTTTTAATAAAAGTCTTTGAAATCGAATATCCAACAAAATTCTCTTCTTTCCATTATGTAGCATGTCTTCAACTTCATATACAAATATGAAAGCAAAAACAGTAATCAAAGTTTAAATGGGACAAACAATGAGGCATGATAGAAAGAAAGCGCAAACAAGCTGAATTAGCAGTTATCACATAGAATACAATATAAATAATTCAAGGTCTTCCTACTGTTGCTACTAAATTATGCAGTAATCTTCATTGCCTTTTAAAGATTGTTATACACACAGATATTCATGAAGGATTCTATATAGGAGGAAAAGCTCACATGCAAAGAAACTAATAACATTACTATTTGCTAATATGAAGTATATAAGAAATACAGCAAATACTTTGAAAAGTTTCATATAAAAAATGAGCTGGTGAGTTATAATGTAGTGATTAATGAAAACTTTATAACAATGGAAATATCTTTATGTCAAATGTGAAGAAAAAATACATGTTCCTGCCGGCGCCGTGGCTCAATAGGCTAATCCTCCACCTTGCGGCGCCGGCACACCGGGTTCTAGTCCCGGTTGGGGCGCCGGATTCTGTCCCGGTTGCCCCTCTTCCAGGCCAGCTCTCTGCTATGGCCAGGGAGTGCAGTGGAGGATGGCCCAGGTGCTTGGGCCCTGCACCCCATGGGAGACCAGGAAAAGCACCTGGCTCCTGGCTCCTGCCAGGATCAGCGCGGTGCGCCGGCTGCAGCGGCGGCCATTGGAGGGTGAACCAGCGGCAAAGGAAGACCTTTCTCTCTCTGTCTCTCTCTCACTGTCCACTCTGCCTGTCAAAAAAAAAAAAAAAATACATGTTCCTAAACACAAAACAAATTGATAGGTGAAACAGAGATGAGGGAAAATAAAAATATTTGTGTCATGATGATGGAATGATGAGAAATATTCTTTTAAAAATCCTTCAACGTAACTAAAACATAGCTTTTTTTTTTTCAATTCAGGGAAAGCAAATGCACCTCAAAATTCCACTTTCAAACAAGTACTGCTCTTCGCGGTTACAGGGCTTATGTAACATTAACAGGTAGTACTCAAGAAGCCTTCCCTGCACACCTAGCAGGTAATCCCGGCAGAAAGCCTGCACCTTCCTGGAGGCATCACAAGACAAGCATATGAATGACTGATGCCACCACAATGAAAATGCAGCAGGAAAAATTTCATCAGTAGAAAGAAGGAGTCATAGCCTAAACTGAAATAAACTCTTTGGATCATCAGTGGATTAAAAATCATTCCTCCCTCTATTACTTTTTGAAATCCTATATTGGCTTTCATTTTTGCTCCGGTTTGTGAACACAAGAACTGCAATCAAGTTTCTGTCTCTCTCTCTCTCACCAAATAGAAACATTTCAAAAATAAGCATGCCATGATAATAGCAGTCTTCAAAGGTGTATGAATACTCAAAACTGTAAAGGGGGTTCTATCTTGACGCCCACAAACCTGGTCTTGGTTAGTTCTTGGTTAAGTCGAAATCATCTTGATGACAAGTTTTAATTCCCTAGAAGGCCCAGGAGCTTTTATTCTTGATAAACACATATACATATAAATGACAAAACTCAAAAAGGTTTGTGGAAAATAGAATTAAAAGTTTGTTTTGGGGGCTGGCGCTGTGGCATAGTGGGTAAAGTCATGGTCTACTTCAGATGCTGGTACTTCACCAGCATCCCATATGAGCACCAGTTCGAGTCCCAGGTGCTCCGCCTCTGACCCAGTGCTCTGCTATGGCTTGGAAAAGCAGTAGAGGATGGCCCAAGTCCTTGGGCCCCTGCACTCATGTGGGAGACCCGGAAGAAGCTTCTGGCTCCTGGCTTTGGATCGGCTCAGCTCTCGCCATTGCAGCCATCTAGGGAGTGAACCAGCAGATGGAAGACACCGCTCTCTCTCTCTCTCTCTGCCTCTCAAATAAATAAATAAATATTTTTAACAACAAAAAAATTTGTTTTGGTGCAAAAAATTTTGAAATCCATGTATAGTTTTATCATAATAAACCATTTCCACAAATTTTTGAAGACCCCTTGTATAAACACAAACACATATATACTCAGATGTCTTGATGTCTCTAGGATAAATTATCAAAAAGGTCACAATATAATTTTCTATTATATGATCGGATCTCAGCTCACACTATTTGGAATCATAACCATTTATGTTCTATTACCACCACAAAATTTTGAACAAAAGTTTTTTTATTACCAGCTTATAGCCTTTTAAGATGTAAAGCCAGTTTTAAATATATAATTAGATAGATGATTTTTTAAAGATTTATTTAGCTAGTTAGTTATAAGACAGAGTGATAAAGACAGAGAGATTTTCCATCCACTGGTTCACTCCCCAAATGGCCACAACACCCAGGGTTGGACCAGGCTGAAGTCAAGAGCCAAGAACTCCAACATGGCCTCCTACGTGAGTGGCAGCGGCCCAAGCACTTGGGTCATCACATCAACGGCTGTCTTCCCAGGCACATTAGCAAGGAGCTAGATAAGAAGCAGAACAGTCAAGACCTGATCAGAGCTCCATTATGGAAAACTGGCATTACAAAAATCACTAAACCACACCACCGACTCCAAGAAATGGATAACTTGGAAGGAGATGTAAAATGAAAAATCAAAGGGAAAGAAAATGTTTTACCAACATTTCCAGGAGCTATTTGAATAAAAGACAGAGTAAAGGCATGCCTGCATGCAGCAACTGTCTACTGTAAATCTGACTGACGCCTAACTACCAGACCACACTATTTCACACCAAAAAGGGAACCGAAAATTCTACCCATAAGGAGATAGCACTGTAACTGGGGCGAGCATGAAGCTAAAATTACAAATGACCAGAACAAGAATAAGTGACAGAAAAGGGGAAGAAAATGAAAAGATTGATCACAGTAATTTAAACTTCTATGTCAAGTCTATCTCTTTGAACTAAAGTCTATCTTTATTTCTATCATCATCATAATCACCATGAAGAGTTTGAGAACACCTATAGGACTTGCAGGTTGTTCTTCCTTTGAACATCTTTGGTATCAGGACAAACTCATATTTAAAGTGGCTAATAATTATTGAGAGCAAATCAATTTAAAATCAAAGTTCTTGGGGCTGGCGCTGTGGCTCACTTGGTTAATCCTCCGCCTGCAGTACCGGCATCCCATATGGGTGCCGAGTTCTAGTCCCAGTTGCTCCTCTTCCAGTCCAGCTCTCTGCTGTGGCCCAGGAGGGCGGTGGAGGATGGCCAAAGCGCTTGGGTCCCTGCACCCTCATGGGAGACCAGAAAGAAGCACCTGGGTCCTGGCTTCTGATTGGTGCAGTGCCAGCTGTGACAGCCATTTGGGGGGTGAACCAATGGAAGGAAGACCTTCTTTCTGTCTCTGTCTATAACTCTACCTGTCAAATAAAAAAAAAAGTTCTCTCTATATAGAATATATATATGCATATTTATTCAACACTTTCATTTGGGAAAAGAGTTTGACTCCAATGTCATAGCTTAGCATTCTCAAAATACTCTGAGAATGGAGAAAGCCCATTATTCTTCAAATGGAGGGAAAATTATTAAAAATTTATATCCAGAAATATTAATATTAGAATGAAAAAGCTACATTTGAATATGGATAAACTGATGAATATTTAAATATCATAACTCACTTTAATTATTTGGCAGATTCCTTTTAAAAGATTTATTTATTTATTTGAAAGGCAGAGTTACAGAGAGGCAGAGGCAGAGAGAGAAAGAGGTCTTCCACCCCCTGGTTTACTCCCCAGATGGCTGGAGCTGGGCCAATCTGAAGCCAGGAGTCAAAAGCTTCTTCTGGGTCTCCCACCCGAGTGCAGGGCCCAAACACTTGGGCTATCTTCCACTACTTTCCCAGGCCCTAGCAGAGAGCTGGATCGGAAGCAGAACTGCCAA